GGGGGGGGGGGAGCGACGCGGCACGGGCGCCGCCTCGGTGGGCGCGGGCAGGTGGGGCTAGGGGCGCTGCTTGGGGCGGAAGACAGGGGTCTGTCCTGTGCAGCTGCTCCCAATAAGACGCGCGAGCTAGGCGGCGGCCCCTGAAAACGCTTGCAGCTGGCTCGGCCTCGAGTCCTCAAGGGCAGCCCCATCGACAGTGCGCCGCAGATCCCTTCGCCCCAGGAAACGAGGGCGCGCCCCTGGCCCTAGCAGCCCCACCCAGCCCCGTCTCAAACGGACCCCATGCCCTTCTCGGCGCCACCCACCCTCGAGACGGACCCCATGTCTCCATCAGGCGTGAGCAGCAGGGGGTTGAGGCACTTGACGGCCACCTCTGTGCTGTGCCAGCGCGCCAGGTACACCTCCCCAAAACCGCCTGCAGGGGGAGCGCCCGGCGTTTCGCCACCGCTTGTTGGGTTGTGCTCGGATAGGGGCGAGGCCGCGGCGCGGCGCCGGCCGGCGTTTCGCCACCGCTTGTTGGGTTGTGCTCGGATAGGGGCGAGGCCGCGGCGCGGCGCCGGCCGGGGAAGAGGGGCATGGACGAGGGCGACGGGTGCCGCCAGCTGAGCTGAAATTCCGAGGGAATCCCACAATCATACTCAAGAGACCGCTAACGAAGAAGCGGGGCTCACCTGTGCCCAGGAGCTTCACGACCTGTTTCATGTTTCACAGAATTGACAGGTGGACCAGGCAGAGAAGGCGCAGATGTTCAGGGATGGCAAGCATCGCATAGGAGGAGGAAGAGGAGGAGGAGCATAGCCCCCAACTTTAGAGACCCCAAGACCAAGGGTTGTGCATGTGAAGCACACCGGCCGACCCTCCCACCTCCCACAGGCCCGGGCATGCGCCCCCAACCGACCCCAACCAACCCTCAACCGCCGCACCCGCAGGTCTTCCGGCCGGATGATCTCGAGCCGCGCCTCCAGGTCGCGCATCATCAGCCCAGACCGCGTGATCTGCGGCGCCGCCTCCTCCTCATCCTCATCGAAACCCTCAAAGTGCTGCTCCTGCAGGCACGCAAAGTTCCCCATCGCGCCCCCGTGGCGCCCGACCGCGAAGCTTCCGCTGCTGATCGCGTAGCTGCCGCTCCCGATGGCGAAGCTGCCGCTCATATTGCCGCACTCGCCACACTCGAACACGCCGCCGTGGCGGAGCTCGTGGCGGAGCTCGTGGCGGAGCTCGTGGCGCGCCTGGTGGGCGGCGGCGCGGCGCGCGAGGGCGAGCGATGCGTCGACGGCGTCTGCCGATTCGGACGCGCCGCCGCTGCCGCGGCCGCTGCGGTCCTCCTTGGACGGCGTGGCAGCCTCTCGGCCCTGGATTGCACGAGGGGGGCCACAGAGGGGGGATGATTAGAGGTGCGCGCAGGCCTGAGTGTGGGCACTCTGCCTCGAATTGGGTAGTCGGAGCTTGTACAAGGGACCCGTCGCGATGACAATGGGGAGTGCGCCAATCGGCGGTACCAGCCGACCAGACAAGGCCGTCCAATTCTCAGCAGCGGCCCCATGCACCAACATAATTCCCTCTCTCCTGACGAAAGCGGGCCCAGGGGCGCAGGCATGGCTCCTCCTTGTGACCAAGCACGTGGACAGACACCAAGGACACAAGCGCGCCCCGCACCTGCTGCGGCGTGCGCGCCACCACGTTGCTGTCGGCGCTGTTGCAGGTGTAGCTGCCGCCGCTGCCGCTCCCGACGCAGCCGGTGCCGCCGCCGCTGCTGCGGTTCTTGCCGCCGAGCTGCGCGTACACGCGGACCTTGAACGTCGGCCGCTGCGACTGCGCGGACACGAAAATGCGGACGCAAGGAGCAGAGGGAGCTTCAAAGGCTGCAACGCGCATGACATTGGCAGTGCAATCAGTTCTCCACACGGCCTGCGTCGCAAGGACCATGCGGCGTCGGCCAAACTCAAAAACGGCCGCCGGGCCTGCGGTCCAACATCGGTCAAACCCCGGTCAACGCACCGTGGCGCTCTCAACCTCCTCCCACATGTTGGCAAGGTCGTCGTCATCAACGAGGTCAACCAGCATGGGGGGGCTGCCGCCGCCAGCCCCCACGCTGTCAGCGCCGCCGCTGCCGGGCAGCTCGTACATCAGGCGGCACGACTGGGGGTGCAGCGGGGGAGAGGGGGGGGCGCGCGGTGTCTGGGCGCCGGCTGGGCTTCTTGGCGAGGGGGGCAGTGGCGCGTTTTGAGCCGCCAATGGAGTAAAACAGGAGCATGCAAGTGCGTATGGCGGATTAAAGGGGGGGCGGAAACGAGCTCCACAGGAAAACAACCCCAATTGGGTCCACACGATTGCAGGCCACGCCCGGCCCGCAAGTCGGGCCCGCGCCGCCCACCTCGTCCCACACGTCTTGGGTGGCCTTGGCCAGCTGCTGCAAAAACTGGCTGAAGCTCGTCGTCTTGGTCATGGCCACCAGCCGCGTCTCGCCGCCGGTGTAGCGCCACGCGCCGCCGCCGCCGCCGAGGGCGCCGCCACCGGCGGTCGCGTGCTCGTAGGTGCCGCCAGAGCTAAGCAGGATCTTGACCTGTGGGATCACAAAAAGGGGGTGCTGGGGGTCGAGGGGGGACGCGTGTGGCGTGAGGCAAGTGGCGTGCAAGCTCATTGTGCCGCCAGCCGCTACTGACTCTTGGTGCTAATGAGGATAAGGCGGAGATGGGGTCGGTGGGGATCTGTGGGGTTCGGTGCGGGTCTGGACGATCGCGGGAGGCGGGGGCAAGCTGGGTGGCTGTCCCAGGGGCAAGGATCGAAGGGGGTGGCGGTGCGTGGGGGTTCCCTAATTGACCCGCCCCGCACCTTGGTCGCAGGGGCCTGGTTGGCGGCCTGTAGCGCTGACATAGCGATGGGCACATAGGGCAGCGTCCCGCCCGCGGTGGAGGCCGCCACGGCGGCCGCTGCCGCGGCGGCCTGCGCCTGTGCCTGCGCCTGTGCCTGTGCCTGCGCCTGCTGTGCGGCCGCCTGCTGCCCCGC